TAGATTTACATATTTAATTAGAATTTCATGAAAAAAATAAAAAAAAACAGACAATTATACATTAAAAATTAAAGAAAATACAATTATCTAATCAAATTTATAATCAAAATTACAATTACATAAACAACTAAGTTAATCTACAGTCTAACTTAATTTTAAACTAGATCTACATTGAATTTCGCCCAAAAAAACGAGATCAAAATTACAATTACCGCCGTAGTTGTTGATGAATGCGCCGTTGTTGTTGTTATTGATGATGAATGTGCCGAGATCGAAACCCTTATTTTATTAATTTCGCCCAAAAAACGAGATCAAACACATTGAATTTTTGTGATTTTCGAACTAACATGAAAGGAGGGGGATCGAATTAAAGACAAGGTTGTTCATTGATGGAAAGAGAAGGGGAAAGAGAAGAGGAAAGAGAGGAGAGAGAAAGAGAAATGAGGGAGAAGGAGGCGCACAAAGAAATGAGGGAGTAGAGAGAAAGAGAAATGAGGGAGGAGAGAGAAAGAGAGGCGCATTAGAAGAGCAAGAGGGAGGGTATTTTTTTAGGGTTTTTTTTTTAATAATTACTTTATTTCCGACGGAATATTCCGTCGGTATCTTCCAACGGGTTTTAATTCCGTCGGAAATAGTAATATTCCGACGGAATATTCCATCGGAACATTATAATTCCGCCGGAAAAGTAATTTTTCAACGGAATATTCCGTCGGAAACCCTTATATTTTAACGGATTTTAATTTCGTCGGAAAGTTCCGACGGAATATAAATCCATCGGAACTTCTGACGTTTCCGACGGAATTAAGTGTCCGTCGGAAACAGTCCGTCGGAAATCGGCCTATTTCTAGTAGTGTAACCCTGCCCTAATCACCCTAAACGAGAGAAATTATTATTATTATTACTATTACTATTATTATTATCACTAGTACGTAAATTGCATATAGCGACACACCAATATAGCCTTTTGCATGCTAAAAAGCGCCGCTAAGACTTATACCGACGCAAGGAAAAGCGTTGTGTTTTCTTATGTCGCTAACCCCTTTCACGATGCTTTTTATCAACGTCGGTACAACACAAAAAAGCGTTGTTAATATGGAGCGCTTTTTAGATATCTTTCGAGACACTATAATAGCGTTGCTATAGGGGTAACGACACTTTTTAAGCGTCGTTGTAGTTATAGTATAATTCTCATTTTGAGAGTACCTATGGGAGCACACTTACAGCGTCGTAATATAGCGTCATAAGAGTAGTATAGTGATTTTAAAGCACCAAATTTGTATTTTGCTCAACTAAATCTGTACATTGCTTTACAATTTCATGATTACTGAATTAAAGATTTTTTTTACAAGGAATTAAAGAATTGGCTGCACATACAAACTTAAAGCAATAATGATACTATTATTTTTTATAAATAGATGAAATGTATAATAGTTTCTAGAAGTTGCACAGGTACCACCAAATTACATATCCAAAAAGAGAATTCAAGCTACTTGCTAAGTATTTGGAGCATCAACTGTTAAATTTCGAGATTCAAATCCATCAAAATATAAGATATCTTCATTGTCTACAAAAACAAAACAGCGCCAATCATCATTCTTCATAGTATAGTTCCAACCAACCTTCATCTCTTTTCTCGTTTTAATGCTGTGACAATCAATCTAAAACATAAAAACAAAACAAGTTCAGAAAAAACTACTTGTATAATTTTCTAGATACAACTCTATTTGCAAGATAAAATATAAAACTGATATATAGTCCTGTAGAAATTTGATATATAAAATTACAAAATAACTTACCATTACGAAAGATCCGAGAACTAATTAGAGAATTCCAAGGGAGAGTTATCATTTCAAGAAGTAGGATTATGGCCCTACATCAAACAACAAATAAAGAAAGTCATGTAAGCCTAGACATTATTTCAATTTAGTAAAATAGTTTTATGGCCACAACAAATCATGTAAATCTAGAAATTAAGCAATCTTAGTAATTTGGCTAAAAGGAGCATAGATTGCTATTGTACCAGGTAAATCAAAAAAATAAAAAAAAATACATTGAATGACATTCAACGCTTAAATATCCAACTTACAATGCTTGCATGATAATATGTTTTCAAGCATAACCTACACTATAGCACATAAGCACTACACTAGCAATAATTCTTTGAGTACAACCTACACTCACACACACACCAAACAAATCAAGTTAATTAGCCTTGTACAAACTCCAATCTTACACTCAACAGTTTGATGAACAAGTTTGATGACCAAACTAATGCAACTCTGTCCACATGTTTAATGAAAAGGTAATATGTTTTCAACCACTAATTACACAAAACCACATAAACACAGCAAATGCACTTTTCCACGTAGTACACATTGTTCACACACAAATAAAAAAAGATATTAGTATAGAAGTACACCAAAAAAAGACGAAATCGTTAAAAAAAAGCTGGAGATACATGGAGTACCTCCAAGCTACATTAAATAAAACATCTCAATTAGAATATGTAAGTTAAAATCTAAGTATCAATTTTTATAACAATATTCAGTTATGTAGTGGCAAGCATTTATATAGTATTGAATGTTTGTAGAAAAGAAATAAATACCTTATTAGCAAGAGGAACATCATGATTTTCTTCTTCGTGATCATCAGAACCATCAGTTTCAGTTTCAATTTCAGTTTCAGAATCAGTTAATTCATCAGAGCTGGAATCGTCGAAGTCATAACCATTACGATATTGTAGCTTCCTCTTCAATTTTCATATAGTCATCCCCTGGCTTTTGATGCGCTTTCTTAGCCTTTGTGTTAACCTTCCAGTTTGCGAAAACTACTGCTTCATCTTTTGTAGACATGTTCAAGCCTTTATGATATGATGGACCAGAAGGTTCCGCAACATCTGATGGCTTAACACCTAACCCTAAACTACGAACACGACCATATTGATCTTTGCCTAAAACCTTTGAAACGGGGTCATCATCCATATTGATCTTTGCCTAAAACCATTGATCTTAGCTCTTGGTCCCCTTGTTCCTTAATAAGGTTCTTAATTTTATTCTAAAAAAGATATTAAAAAAAAGTTATAACTGGAATAAGAAAATTCAAATAGAAGAAAATTAGAAATGTTGAGTACAATACAGTTATAAGTAGCCAAGAAACACACCGTTACATCAACTTCTTTCTCATGTTGGTGGCACTGTAAATATACTTGAGTTCGTGTTGGACTCTTGTTCAGGGTTTTTTTTCTTCAAAAATACACAATTAAAAGTTAAAATATAGCAAATAAAAAAATTAAAAAAAATAAAAAATAAATAAAAAAGTTGCTGATAGATTTTGAACAATGTCAATCCTTTCTTTTCAAGCCAGACTATATAATGAATAAGGAGGATGCAGACATAAATGTTATCTATTGTATTTAACTACCATTAAAACGTGTAAATGCCATTTTGCATACCAATTCTTCACGAACACGAGCATGGCTTTTTGTACCAGTTGTAGAAATTGGCTTGACTTTAGCCTTCGCATGTGATTCTTTGCCAATTTTGCTTCTCTTCTACAACAGCATAACAATATGCACATTACAAAGTTTATTTGTTTATACGTAATATAAGTTAGCATCCAATAATAAATCAAAAGCTTAACAAAAAAAATTAAAATATAATGAGAGGAGATAATAAGTGAAGAGAATAGTAAGAACGCACCTTTCCTTCATCTGATCTCCAGAAATTAACAAGGCTAATCCACTTATCTCCTTCAACATCAGTGGGCATTTATTATGCAGAGTGGTAATATTGGTATCCTCATCATAATATATTCCTTTCAAATAACATTTATAATCCCTCCATTTATGTCCGATCAATTACAGTATCCATTTCTCTGTAGCTTTCAGATAAATGAATCTAGCCTGGAAAATACATGAGTAATTAAAACAAGCAAATTGCCTATAAATGTTTAGTAAGATTAAATCCTTGACAAACAAAAAAAAATATTAGAAACTCAATAAATAGCATACCTCAACTTCTTTTAATATCATTTCCTAATTCTTTTTATTACAACCTTTTTTCAGATGATCCCATGCGTATAACTCAGTGAGCAAAGTTTTATATTTCTTGCAATTGTCCCACCAAAAGCACCTAATACCCCTCCTTCTTCTCCAATGGGTTGCATCTCATTGTTGAGACGATGGCCATTAGGTAAATTCCAAATATCAACTAGAACAGTTTTCCACGTCTTTTTGTTCCATCAAAGTATACATCTATGCTTAATTAGGTGTAGGATGATGCTCGTATGCATAATAACATTATTAAACAACAAAAAGAGAAAAATATTTAAATACATGAGTAATGTGCAACAAGAGAGCCATGTATATTTTAATAATTTACTTGAATCCACTTTACATCCTATTATAAAGAAGGGCTATTAAGGGATTAATACCTTAGATGATGTAGTCATACATTCGTCCATTTTCTTGTTCAGCCTCATCAGTAGAGACGTCAATGTTTCCTTGATTTTGGCTACTATAACTACTTTAATGTTGAGTCTCATCCGTAGTAATTGAGTTATTTAATTGCCTCCAACTTCTAGCACTTGGTTCACCCCCATTTGAATTAGTAGCCATTCAAAGCTTCTAACTCTTTCCCTTAAACATGATCTATCAAATAAAAGGGGCATTATGGAAATAAAATCAAGTAAAAAAACATGAGCTGCTACTAAAAATATAAACAAGTAAACAAACTATATACAAAAAATTTGTGACAATCACAAAAAACTAAGGTACATTAATAGCAGTATATCACCAGCAAAAATAATATGTTGCTGCCAAAAATAATAAACAATGCATTAGAGAATGTAATTAAAAAATAATATTCATCAAATCAATGCCTAATTTAAGGCTCATCTTGATCAACCTCGATTCCTTCTACATTACTTCTAACCTAACTATGGTTTTCTTCAAAATTAACAAGAATGTTATTGAGAAATGTGATATGATATGGTTGATTTTCTCAATCTTCCATCATTTCATCGTCATCTAGGTCGCAAACACCCTTAGGCTTCATCCTCATAGCAACAAACCAGTCTGGAGCTGAATGGTCTTCTATATAGTAGACTTGCTTTGCTTGTGATGCAAAGATATATGGCTCATCTTCTAATCTTTCACCCGTGTTTGTCAAACGAGAAAGATTAACAAGTGTATAATTGGACTCATCTTTCTTTACCCCTCTTCCACTTGTAGCATCACACCATTCACATTTAAACAAAAACCACTGATACCCACCCAAGTATTTCAACTCAATGATATCTATCAGCCTTCCATAATATGCAACATCACCCAAAATTGGATTTCTATCACTAGAACTTGCATAACTTGATGTCTTTGCTATTACAACAACGCCACTATTTTGAGTACACTTGTCAAAACGTTTGGCAATAAAAGTAAAACCATTGACATTGAATCCTTGATATTTTGTAATAACATCTACTGGACCGCGTGCTAGCATTCGAACTTCCTCTTTCAAAGAATTTATGTCATTTGTTTGCTCCAATTTATCCACCTATATATTAACAATGCATTTGCATTATTCACTAAAGTAAGAAGTAAATTAAAAAACCAAATAAATAATTGTGATGCTTACGTGTTGCCTAAACCACTCATGAAATGTTTCATGTTGTATACGTTCAATATCATTCAAAGATAAACGCTTAGGACGACTACGTCTCTTGAGTCTGAAGCATGTTCCCTATAAAGAAATAAAATGTTAAAAAGTTCTTATTAAAAACCTATTAACTAGCTAGTTAAGAAAAATTCACAAGAGATTTGGATACTAACCTTAAAAATTTAGTCACTTCTGGGGAATTAAATAGCACATATCGATGTGCTTGTATCTTGTTCATTTGGTTGATGGTGCGTGTACTAGGCTTCCCAAGAGGCTTCCCAACTTGTGAAAATAATGGCAAACCTTCGTTATTATTGAAGGATTCAACATATTCAACATCATCAACCATTCCAAGAATGAATGTGTCTTAATTTTGAGTTGAACCCTTGAAGGTAAACATAACAAAAATTTGCAAATTCAACAGCAGTGATTGCTTCTGCAATAGAATCCTAAGGATGAGCTTTATTACGCACATGTGACTTTAATAATCCAAGATACATTTCAATGAAATACATCCATCTAAACATGACAGGCCCTGCAAGCTTCGTTTGGGTTGCTAGATGAATAACCAAATGTGCCATTACTGTGAAGAAACTAGGAGGAAATATCATTTCTAAGTGACACATGATAATTGGTATTTGAGCCTCGTGTTGATTAAGGTCACTAACACGTATGTTCTTACTGCAAATGTCTCTAAAGTAGCCACATAAATCAGATAAAACTGCCACCACATCCTTAGGGAGAAGCCCTCGTAATGCAACAGGAAGAAGTTGTTGCGTTAAAATGTGGCAATCGTGGCTTTTAAGCCCAACCAGGTTGGCTTTCTCAATATTCACACATCTTGAAATATTACCAGCATAACCGTTAGGAACTTTGATGCCATGAAGTGTTTTGTAGAAGATTTGCTTTTCATTTCTTAACATTGTATAAGGAGCAGGTGGCAGATACCATTTATTTGTTGAACCTCTCTTCTCTGGGTAAAGTTCCTCCTTTATTCCCCATTCTTTCAAATCTAGCCGGGCTTTCAGATTATCTTTATTCTTTCCTTCCAAATTCAACAATGTACCTATCACATTATCACACACATTTTTATCTATGTGCATTACATCTAAGTTATGTCGAATTAGGTGAGACTCCCAATAAGGTAATGACCACAAGGTGTTTTTTCCTTCCAAGTATTTGAGTCATTAAAGTCTAAAACTCCCTCTATTTGGTTCAACTCATCTGTCCCAGTTTGATCCATAGGTGTCATTCTAAATTCTTCCTTCCTATTAAAAGCTTCCTTGTTTAAACGAAACGGGTGACTTGGATATAGGAAACAACGATGATCCATAAAACAATACTTATGGCCATTCTTTAGCCATTTGGATTTTGTTTCAATGTTACAGCAAGGACATGCTTTTTCCCCATGTACACTCCAACCAGATAGAATTCCATAACCAGGGAAGTCACTAATGGTCCATAAAAGCCCAACCCGCATATTAAAAGTTTCATCCTTAGAAGCATCATAAGTCTCACATCCAATTTCCCAAAGCTTCAGCAATTCTTCAATGAGGGGCTGCATATAAACATCAATTTGTTTCCAGGGCTGGTTGGTCCAGGAATTAAGGTTGAAAGGATAATAGATGGTTTTTTTTAAACACATCCATGGTGGCAAATTAAAAGGTACCAGTACAACAAGCCAGCAACTATATGTAGAACTCAACATCCCAAAAGGATTAAAACCATCAGTAGCAAGTCCTAGTCTAACATTTTGACTGTCTAAACCAAATTCAGGGTATCTGGTATCAAAGTCTTTCCAAGCTTCAGAATCTTCTGGATGTCCTGACACATCTTCTTCCTTAGAACGTTCTTCATCATGCCACCTCATCAAGGATGCAGTGTGCTTAGACATATATAGCCTCTTTAGCCTAGGTTTCAATGGAATATCTCAAAACTTTTGTAGGAACTCCTTTTTTCTTCTTCCTACCCGTTGAAGTTGTTTTCTCCTTCACGCTTTCCACCTCGAGGCACCACAAACTGAACAAATATCATCGTTGGCTTTATCTTTCCAATACAACTGACAATGATTTGGGCAAGCATGATTTCTGACATATCCAAGGCCTAATTTCTCAATGACCTTCTTAGCCTCCGCAACTGTCTTTGGTAAATTAACACTACTTGGAATTGCAAGTTGCAAAAATTCCAACAATTCATTACATGACTTATTAGTCCATTTATTAGAGCTTTTTATGTGAAATAAAAGTACTAAAAAGGACAATTTAGTCAATTCACACCCTGGCCATAACTCTTGATCAGCATCACTAAGCAAACTGTTAAGCTTTGAGCTTCTTTGTTGGGACCCTTAGTACCTACATCCATGTTGTCCTATTTAGATTTGGACCATCTCGTCTATAACCATATGCATCATGCACTAATTGATGCATATCTGTATGCTCAAATGTTACATCTTCGACTATAGGTTCAGCATGTCTTGGAATTGGTATTTGATCCACAATTTCCCCATGAAAAATCCAGCTTGAGTAGTTACGCATCATTCCAAAATGAAGTAAGCGGTAATTTACATCATCCGAACTCAAAAGTTTGTTATTAACACACTTCACACAAGGACATCTAAGTTTTTCATAAGAGGTTAAATTCCTGGTAGCATAACTCATAAAACCATCAACCCCTAATCGATATTGTGTTGCTTTTATTGGCCAACTCAAACTTTCCTTGATTGTTCGCAAATTCATACTAAATTATGAAAAAAAAAATATCAAATTACATAAATGCAGAACATTGGTATCACTCAAGTAAAATTCAATCATTATAGTAAGTTAGTAAGGTATATAATAACAATTCAAGTAGATATCTATGTAAACCCAAGAGCTCAAAAATAGCCACAATATAGAATACATTTACATTTATTTCTTGAAACAAAGATTAATTATTTGTACTGATCAAAATTCAATTATGACTTTGAGGACAAAGAAAGGGAATCAATTCTTTTTTTTCCCCTTAGGTGGAGATGTAAATCCTATCTTTAAGTGATCATCACATTACCAAGACATATTAGAAAATTTCCTTTTTAGTATAAATTTAATCTTTTTCTATCTCTTATAATCCTATCAATAAGAAGACAAGTTTTAATACCCTCAATTAATCATACTAATTTGTTTGTAATTTATAGTAACTTTCTTAGTATAAATTACAAAAAGATTGCCCTGCTAGTAATTCTAAATCAGACGAACTGAAATCAAGTAACCCATTACAAGGAATATATACAATTATCATGTAACAAATCAACTTATACTTTTAAAATCGAGTAATTATAAGAGCTGACGACAAGGGTGCACTAAAATGTAGACTAAAACAATAAGACAACATGTAGTAAGCATTTAATTCATAGTACATGTTTCACAGCTAATATCTTAATTAACCAATTAAACCGAACTATATGATATTCACATTATACAACAAAAGCACGCTATCTATATTACCGAAACATACTCCGTCTATGCTCGTGTCTCAAAATGTTTAATTTATGTTGTTTTACACATACAGTTTCCCAATTTACTGAGTCATACCAATTCCAATAAAAACACCAACGATTAGGAATATTACACGCTTTCTATTCCACTTAATTCTCGTGGAAAAAAAAATAAGAAAAAAAGAAAAAAAAACAAGCACATTGATACACGAAAAATGGAGTACTTAGTAGCCAATGCTATTAAATTATGATACACAATTTAAAGTGGCAGACAATTGATAAATGCAGTTATGGTTAGTAAATAAAGTAGTGGACAATTTGATAATTCAACTAGACTAACAAAGATATACACAAGCAACTAAACCTGGGCATCGTGCCGTGCAGGGCCGCCGCAGGCCGTGCCTGGCGGGTCACGGTCACCGGCGTGCCGTGCCGGGCGTGCCTAGGTTTTCGTGTCGTGCCGTGCCGGCCAATTTCAAAGGCCAGCCCACGGCCTGGCACGGCCCTCGTGCCTGGCGGGCTCGTGTCGTGCCGGCCTTCGTGCTGGCCTGGCGAGCTGGCCTTGTGTAAATATTTTTTTTTTTATTTATTTATTTTTTGTTAACGGTTAATAAATTATAATTTATAAAATTATAATTATAACTTATAAGTTATAATTTAATAACCTATAATTTATAAAATTATAATTATAACTTATAACTTATAACTTTTATAAGTTATAAATATATAAGTTTATAACTTATAAGTTATAAAATTATAATTATAACTTATAACTTATAACTTATAAGTTATAAAATTATAAGCTATAAAATAAATTAAGTTGAACATTTATGTTTTATTATTTTTTATATTCAATATTTATATTTATATATTTAGTTTATACTATTACTTAAAAAAAAAATTGTATTATTAATTGGTATAATTTTCTTTTTATTATATTAATATACAAATTATAACAAACGGGGAAAAAAGGCAAATTGGACTTTGGATGTGAATAATGCATACTTCATATTATTATTACTTAAGTTGAGAAAATTGTACAATGATAACAATGAAAATTGGATAATGATAATATTGATAAACGATAATGATTAAAATCGTACAATATACAAAAATTGTCTATTCTTCTTGTTGCTCGTCTTCGTCTCCGTCGTCGGCTTCGGCTTCATCGGCTAGTTGGATAGATTGGGAACTAGCCGAACCCGAACGGTCGAAAGCGGAGGTTCGTTCATCGTTGTCGTTGTCTTAGTAAGAACGGTCTTGTGAGCGATTTTCCGCATCCAACCAATCTTAGAAACACACGCACATTTCTAGTGTTTCGGGTTTTAGACTTGTTCTTCTATCGTCCAGAACCCTTCTGGATGCGCTGAAAGCTCGTTCGGAGGCAACAGATGAGACTTGGATACCAATAATGTCTTGTGCCATTGCCGCCAAAGTTGGATGCTTCCCGATTTGTTGTTTCCACCATGCAAGGAGGTCGAGGCTGTGTATCTCATCGTCATCCATGCCTTTGGTGAAGTCGTAACTTAGGTACATCTGCAACTCCGAGACATCGCTTTGCGTTCTCCTGATTGATGAATCACCTAAAAACCTTGAAATCAAGTTATTAGCTTGTGAAAATAAATGTTTGGCCTTCTTACTTACGTTTTTGGATGGTTGGGAAGGCCCTGAGCGAGGAACGGTGCCATATTTAGCTTCATAGACTCTATATAAAGCAAAAAACTGATCCTTCACATTATTCTTATAGTTTTCTACATCATCGTCAAGAAGCATGCATTGAAAGTAAATGTCAACTAACATAAATGTGTTTTCATACTTTTGCCTAGGATCTAATATGAAAGCAAAAATACAAATCAAAGGAATTTCACTATAATATTTACGCCACTTTGCTTCCATTGCTGGAAGATACTGATCATAATCACTTTGGCTGCGATGATCAGCGAAAAGTTGGGCGAGTAAACATGCATTAGAAAGAAAGTTTTGAGCACAAGGATTGTAAACAGAAGAAAAATAATATGTCATGTTATATAATAACTGTAAAAATTGCATATATCTTTCACAGTTATACCAATCATCATCATATAAAGCAGTTTATGGAAATTTTTGGTTGTAAAATAGTGTTAACGGATTCTTGAACTCAATTGTCTTGGTTAACATGTAATAGGTGGAATTCCACCTAGTTGGGCAATCGGTTTTGATTTTTATTGCCCTTATCTTTTGTTGTCTTAGAAAACTCTTCCAATCTTGGTACCTCATGTTTGAGCTATTAATAGACATAATAGCATCTCTGATTTTGTTGTACTATGGGCCAATTGCCCGAACTCCATCCTGTACACATAAGTTAAGTATATGGCAAACACATCTAGTATGAAGAGCATCACCGTCTAATATTACATCGGTTAAGTTTTGTTTGACAAGATTAGTTGTGTATGTCATAGAGGTTGCATTGTCAAAAGTCATAGACATCATTTTATCTCGAAGGTTGTATTCGTCTATTGCTTGCATTAAATGGTGAGCAATGTTAATGCCTGTGTGTGGGTAGTCCAGCATTTTGAAATGTATTATTCTTTTTTGTAACAACCATTGATCATCTACCCAATGGCAAGTCACACATAAATAGTGATATTTATAACCACTATCCTAAGAATCGGTTGTCAAAGACACTCTACAGTTAAGGTCCCTCAATTCGACTTGTAACCGCAATTTGTACTCTAGGAAGTTTTTCATGGCGGCGGAACGAACGGTTTTCCTAGAGATTCTTTTATGTTGGGGTTGTAGTGATTTGTTAATGTAAGTGTTAAATGGGTCACTTTCCGAGAAAAGAAAAGGTTGTTCGGCGTGTACTATCATTTTCCCTAGTCCATCCCTATACCTCTCATAGTTGTAGGTAAAGCCGTATGGATGGTACTGGAAAATTTTTAGCTGGGTTGGATCACTAGCTGGTTGTGCACAAGCTTTCATGTGTCTACTTAAGTGTCCCGTCCCGGATTTGGATAGTGCCGAGAATACACTATTACATGTTTTACATTTTGCATGTGTTTGGGGTTTATTTAGGAGGAAATGATGCCATACATCACTCTTTCGGTTTTTCAAAAGTAGCATCTCACTTTCGGTTAACCATTCATGATGTGTGTTTTGGTTAGTAGTTGTAGAAGGGGTAGAACCGGAGGGAATTTGGGTACTTTCTTGGCTACTTTGGCTAGAATATAGTTTTGTTGATCACCAAAATAATTAGGTGGGAATTGACCAATTGTGGAAATTGTTGTGGATTTTGAAATTAGTTTGATGGTGAAAATTGGTTTGGTGGTGGTGGTGGAAATTGGTTTGGTGGTGGTGGTGGAAATCCCGACATATTATAGGGTTGAAAACAGGAACTACCATCGTGCCTAAATGGCTCATAGCCCGGGGGGAAGTAACCAGGG